GGGCATTCACCTTGATTCGTTCAATTGGATTTCGTTCTTTGAGCTATCTGATTTGGGGATCCTCCAATTGGGCTTTATTCTCTAGGCTGTTCGATTTGGGCTGAATTTTTATATGTCAACACCAACTAAAACTTCTATAAATCTATCTAAATAGAATAATAAGATTTTAAAATCCCAAATGGAATAAGAGATTTTAAATCTAAGACAAACACACATAGGAATTTAATGCATTATGAAGGAGAATGATAAAAAAATGGCGTTAAACTTAAAGGAGAAGAGTTAAATGTCTGAGGAGATGAACGGAAAGATGAAGAGAGTTTTCAATTTGAAGGAGAGGAGGTGCGGAGGATTGTCACGCGTAAATTGAAATGAAAAGAAAATTCCCAATTCTTCTTCTTCGATTCCATTTTACAACTTAAGGGTAAGATGGTCTTTTGATGATTTTAAATAATTAAAATTTCTCTTCTTTTCCCCGTTTCGGTCAAAAGCCATTTGGACAATTTCGTTTTCAGTGGTGGCCATCTTAACGCATTTCCCCATTTCACACTTACCATTCAATGACGGTGGTACCCGGTTAGACCCTCCGCGTTCTAGTTTCAGAAAATTCAACAATTAGGCGTGAACGGTCAACCCGCACGAAACCCGGATATATATATATATATATATACACACATAATTACATCACCTTTTTGAAATATCTGTCATTCTCTCCGTTTCTCTCTCTAAAACAATAAAATTCAGAAATTTTGATCAACGAAAATTGTACGAATTTGTTGATCGATCAATTGGCACAAAGGGAAAAAGATAAAGTAACAACTTGAGGGATATCAAGGTATTCGTATAATCATGTCGATGTCTGATTCGGATACCTCGTCTCAGGGCAGCGAGTATAAGAACTTCCGCCAAATTACCCGTGACAGTAAGTCCATTTTCGTATTTCTGCCATGTTTTATGCATATAGAGTTACTGGAATTGTTATGGATTCAGTTCAGCTGTATATACCTAATTTAATTAACTGGAAATGGTTTAATGGTTTGTGTTATTGCATGATTTATTTGTTGTGATAAACCAGTGGAGTTGTTGTGTTTTTTGTAGTTGCCTTTTTCTTTTTTTCTTTTTTAAAATTATTTCATGTTAGCTATTACACAAGCTTGTTTCTCTAGAGAACTTAAATGTTATAATGTTGTAATTTTCGTAGATAGAACTCAGTCCTAGTGTTCTTATTCAAAACTTATGGTTCAAAAAACGTCATAGCATTATGCAGTGAGAGGTTATGTTATATCTTGTGTTGGAGAGCATTTTGCCGAAGCAATGGACGACCTATGCATGTTTGGGAGTTGTTTATAATTGGTTTAAATTATAAATATATAGAAATGAGTAGTGAATAAGTAGGTATTACATATGGGTCCGCGAAATGCGTGGATAAAAAATGGTTTTACCGAGTATAAACAAATTATAAACATGTACCAAACATGCGTGCTCAAACTTTCTGATGGTGTACGGTAGGAGTTCAAATGCAGGAGAGTTAGCAAAGAATATCTAAATAGAGTATTTGTGAATGCTAGAGAGGTAGTTCCATGATTAACATGATAAAAATCAAGAAGAGAAATTTATTATTACTTGTTCATGTACATTGCAATAAAATAATGTCAAATAGTAGTGGGTATGTGTGCTCTACAGCTTGGTAACTACAGTGAATCATAAATCCCTCGTCCTTGAGTGCAAAACTTGGCTTACTGTATTACATTTTCCTTTTTTTCCTTTTAGATCTCCAAGTTTATTGTGAAAACGACTTAGACGTAGTTTGTCATAGTTATTTCCTCTTTGATAGTTAGCATAATTTGTATTTCTCCACTATTTGATGAGGATTGTGAAAGATCAGCTACTATTCCAATGAAAACAAACTGTAGGAGAATACACAAATTCGTTTATTAGAAAATTTCACCCGAAGTTCTTTGACAATATATAATATATCATCATTAGCTGGTGAATCAGGGTTATCATTATTGAACTTCTTTGCTCCTCAGGGGGGAAACTGTGAACCACTGAAGAAATGCTAAAGAATGTATCTCATGATTGTAAGATTGCTATAGCGTACAACTTTTACCAAATATACTAATATATATGGCTAACTGTAACGACCTGGATCTCTGTACCCAAATCGTTAGCTTACGTACTGTCCGCTTTGGGTGGACCTTGCGCCCACTTACCCCTCAAGGCTTTCCGTGACGTCTCCCAAGATTTGAACTCATGACCTTCCCCTCAAGTAAGATTTAAGTTGAATCTTGATACCAATTGGGCAAGTTGCGTTTTTTTTTTGTAACGACCCGAGTCTCTGTATTCAAGTCGTTAGCTTACGTACTGTCCGCTTTGGGTGGACCTTGCGTCCACTTACCCTTCATGGCTTTCTGTCGCGTCCCCCAGGATTGGAACTCATGACCTTCTCCAAGGCCAACCCAAAGCGGACAGTACGTAAGCTAACGGCTTGGGTACAGAGATCCGGGTCGTTACACTAACCCTGAAAACAATGGCGAGGGTTTCAATTTCGATGAATATTTTGGCTTGGTATTTCGAAAAGGTTGCCAATTTATTTGAAATTTCCTACACCTTAAATTTAAGTGCGGTGGTCTAGAAGTACTCTCCATATACATCGATCGGTGACTTATGCTATTTTTTCTGGCTTTCATGACCATTTGGGTACTAATTCACTCTCAGAAATTGAAATTATATATCTGAGGTCATATTCATATATTGTTTATATTAATTACTGCAAGTTAATGGGCACTTTCAGATCTATAAACTGTTACAATTTTTGGTAATTGAGATATATGAAGTTTTTGTTTTATTTTACCTATTGATAAGAATGCATTTTGCAGGATTATTAAATGAAATGCTTCGATCGACCAAAACAGGGGATTCAAAATCAAGTTGGAAGGTATAAGCTTCTTCAATATGGAAGTCTTTTAGTATTTGAAGATTCAGGTTTGAGCAGTGGGTTCAGTGGCTTAGTAGACTTCCAGGGCGTGTCCAACATATAGCAATGCTAAGTCAGGACAAGCCAACAATCCAATAAGAAACTGTTTTGTGCATAGAGTGCCTTATTGTTTGCTTTAATCTAAAAAATCCTAGTAATCTTCTGCGACCCCAGATACTCATGTTGCCCATATGCCCAAGTTCACTAGACTGATATAAATCTGTCACCATCTAGTTAAATGTTAACCATGCATCTGACTGAGTAACACACTGTTTTTATCTTCTTTTACCTACACAACCTGTACAAAATAAAATGAAAGAGCATCTTTCATGTTTTTGGAAGAAAATGAGGTGCATTAGGTAGCTTAATGGGTAAAATGATAGAAATTGAGGACATGACCACTTCAGAAAAAGGTGGTAGCTAGTGGGCTAAGTTATAACTAGAAAACTATTAGAAGTTTCATTGAGGTTTATTGCCCCTCCTGGGGGCGGTGATCAACCATTGACATTCAACTATTAATATCCACCAAATAAAAGATCCTTTGGCTTGATTCAGAAGTTATCTTTGTGACTGATTTCTCATTTGAGCTAATTTTCCTGTTCTTGTGATTAGTTAGAGTTCTTTAATATCAGACGCATTTCTTCTGATGTCAAGTTGTTTGTCCGAGTTCGTCAAGTTCTAGTCCCATTCAAAGAATATTGCTGCCAATCCCAAATGCATTCACTGGACATTAAAATTTTTTTAGAAGCCCTATATGATTCAATTTTTACTTTTCATATGATTCTCTCTCTTGCTAGTTGTTTTTGTTTGCTTGAAAACCAACCTTCAGTTTTGACACTTTGACCTGCAGGTACTCATCATGGACAAGGTTACTCTTAAAATAATCTCTAATGCATGCAAGATGTCAGATATAACTGACGAAGGAGTTTCATGTAAGATATGAAAGGCCTGTCTAAGGAAAAAATACTGTATCTTTCTTTCCTCTTCACCCTATTTTTGCATGGTGTTGTGCTTGCCTGCTGCTACTGTGATGCAATTTACCATGTTTATTACAATTGTATGTAGCTTGTAAATGATATTCAACAAATTGTTAACAATCTTTAAGTGGTGTATGGTATTCTGAGCTTTACATTCTTCATCTTGTTCCAAATTATCATGCTACTGTAGAAATGCTTCTGGTACCATGACAAAAAGAAAATTTAATTTCAGATAGATAAGTTATTTATTTATTTATTTTTTTGATCAGTTATTCCTTATTGTGATGATTAATGGCATTATTAGCTAGATACTTTTGAATGTAAAACTTTGGAAGAAGTGTTCATGTAGGTTCAAATGACATGACTTAACACAATTGCTACGAATTAACTATTCAATGATTTCCTGAGGTGCACAGGCCTTGCCCGATCTACTAGTTTTCTTTAATGACATTGGCCACCTAGCTGCCAGTAGAAGTGACGTTCATGGTGCCTTCTTCATCAGTATCTCTTATATTTTTCCTGTTTTATCCATCCCCGGTATTTTTTTGTGAACCTTTAGAGAAAACTTGTCCCAGCATTAAGATCACAGCCTTGCAGGTAGCCTTTCTACATGTCTAAATTATAGATCATTTCTGTATTTAATATGTAGTTTTCAGTACTGCAGAGTGCTTCTGTTGTATGTTCTGTGGAAATATTTTGTTTCAGTTGTTTGTACGCAAATGTCTTCCTTTCACGGAAAGTTCCTAAATGATTTTGGAAGGCCTGAACTGGTATTGATTGACCCATATAAATTATATCCAAAGGAGGACTTTATCTACACCTGATCATAATGGCTTGTGTTTTGAACCAGCTTTTACTTTAACATGCACTTTTTGAATATTAATTTTAAGACCGAGAAGCTATCATTTCATGTGTTGCCTGTAGTGGTGGAAGACATATACAAGCGAAGGCAGCCACTACCAACCATGGATGCTGTATACTTCATCCAGCCAACTAAAGAGAAGTAATTCTCTTTTCTAACTTCTAGTTCAACATCCTTGTGCTGGTAATACTTTTGAGTTTGGCTTGAAAAACTGAGATAGCCACCCCAATTCTGATGCAGCCCTAGCATGTTCTTAGCATTAAAATCTTCCTGCATATACTTATCTTGAAAGCAATTTCAAGTGGATGCACACAAAGGCCTTTTTAGCAAATTTGTATGTCATGCTTGAATATAATCTACAACTTGTCTTTCCACCTCCTGATTTTTTATTTAAGGTGGTTTCCGATCAACAATTGTTCTATTATGGGTTTCTTCACGTCTATTTTCCTCTCGAGTGCTATTGCACTCTGCTTTCTTATACATGTCAAAAAAACTTATCTCATTTCAGAAAATTGAATGTTTTTATTCTTTCCATTTATGCCCAACATAAGTGATAAGACAATTGGATTGAAGCAATCATTAGTTAATCAGCGTTTAAAATTTGAGTTCAGAATAAGCGCAAATTGACAAGTACAATTCAAATTTCAATGTTATTAGACTATGCATAAAGTTCGTTTCTCTTAAATCAAGCTAAAATTATGGGTTGGAGGGTGCAATTCTCAGCACCTGTTTGAGCCCCATTTTTTCGCTAAGAATGCATTTTGGAATAGTAGATTGATGGAGAATATGTGGTTAAAAAATAAGGAAAAGTCATGGATTTACGTGTAATGTTATTTTATTGAAGAATGTGTGGTTGAAAAGAAGAAAAATGTATTTTGGGAATAATGGGGTCAAATGAGGGCTTAATTTCTTACTACCAAGTCCTGCAAATACATAATCTAATATCTATGTTTTGCTTGTGAGAGACTAACATAATTCTACACAATATGCTATTGCGAAGGAATTTGCTATTGGAATAGTTGACATCTTCTCATTTTTGTAATTGGTTGTTCCTACCATAGTAATTTTTTTGTTTTTCTTTATACAAAAAAAGGAGTATATAATTTTCAGTTGGAAGGGACTAGATTTGCAATTACTTCCCCAATGGATGAAATGTTTCTAATGAGCTTAGGGTAGTTTGAAAGGATGGAGATTATATAGTCCTTTAACAGTATGCTTTTTGGGATATAGCTTTTTGTATTTGGATGGATTAGAAATACTAGCTGAGATCTTTCTATGGAGCAGCATAGTTTTTGCACAGAAGATGGAATGTAATTTCTCCTTTTCCGATATCAATTTTTTGGGAGTTTCTGTCATTACAGACGTCTTAAGCCTCTTATTCTCTGTTACCAAGCTTTCTTTCCCTGGAAAGTTATGCATATGTGCATGTGAGAACATTTAAAATGTTGAAAGGTTACCAAGTCATTTTAATTTGTTTCATAGAAGTATCCTATTAAATTTAATTTGAGCAATGCAAATTTTCTCATTTCTTCTATCCTCTCTCTCCCCTCATCCATCATTTTTTTTTTGGATGCAGTGTTGTCATGTTCCTTTCTGATATGTCTGGAAAATCGCCATTGTACAGAAAGTATGCCAAGTATTTTGTATCTTCTCTGTCTGTCTTGTTTGTTTTGCAATTTTATTTATTTTTATTTTTATTTTTATTTTTGAACCAGCAGGGAAATAATTTCGAGCCTGATATGATTCTCTCTCTCTCTCTCCCCCCTTATTTGTTCTGTTATTAGGGCATTTGTCTTCTTCAGTTCACCTGTTACCCGAGAATTGGTTAATCACATAAAGAGAGACAGAGGTGTTATGTCTCGCACTGGTGCTTTAAGAGAGGTTATATTTACATCCAAAATCTTTTCTGATATTCTATCTCTTTTTTAGTGCTAGATTTGTAATTAGTTTTGTTCTCATTTTGGTTCTCAAATCTGTAGATGAACTTGGAGTATTTTCCCATAGATAGCCAGGTATGTTGTCCTGCTGAGTCTTGTCTTTATTTGGTTGCAACTACTTTCTGATGTTTGACGTGTTTTAAAATTTATTTTTTTGACTTCGCATTGTGTTTAAGTTTATTAATTTTACATATTATGTATTCTCAATTATGGACCTTTGTAAAGTAGTTGCAACCTCAGTTTTATTGTTTGGTTTTAGTTAGTTATTAATTTCTCATTAAGAACATTTGACGTTTATCTATTTTTAGTATTTTAATTATTAATATTTAGTAGAACTTTGCAATCCTTTATTTGATCCAACGATCTGATCTGCAAGATCCCTAACCGATCCTAGTCAAAAGTACTATCCTGATGACCTAGTTGCTAAATTTTTACCCATGCTTATTTTACCCTTCCCCTGCATGGTCCCTCATCACTTAGATGACATTTTTTGCTTCTCTCTTCTTGCTACTCTTTTAATCTCATTCTATTGTGTGGTGCCCAAGTAGCAGAAAATTTCAACAATATTTTTGTTACTGTAGGGTTTTATAACTGATAATGAGAAAGCTCTTGAGGAACTCTTTGGGGAGGAAGAAAGTTCTCGTAAAGGCGATGCATGTTTGAATTCGATGGCCATCCGCATAGCTACAGTCTTTGCATCATTGCGGGTGTGTAGTTAAGTGCTTATCTATTGACCCATAGTTCATGCATATTCATGAAAGTCTCCAATGCTTGCATAATGTTATCCTTTGACAGGAGTTTCCTTTAGTGCGCTACCGTGCGGCCAAATCCCTTGATCCTAACACAATGACGACATTTCGTGATCTAATTCCTACAAAACTTGCTGCTGGTGTTTGGAATTGTCTCATGAAATACAAAAACCTCCCAAACTTCCCTCAGTCAGAGACATGCGAGTTGCTCATCCTGGATAGATCGATAGACCAGGTTTTTATTGTCATATATATATATGTGTGTGTGTGTGTGTGTAGATAGCATAGGGCCGTGAAATCCAATTTAATAATATCATGCTTAACTTATTTATTTTTATATGTAGATTGCTCCAATCATACATGAATGGACATATGATGCCATGTGCCATGATTTACTTAATATGGAAGGAAATAAGTATGTGCATGAGGTAAGACTCAAGTTTTTTGCTCCATAGTTGCATGGTTGTCCATATAATCCAACAGCCAATTTATGTCGAGCAATGATACTGCTCAGGTTTCAAACAGAACAGGTGGTCTTCCTGAGAAGAAAGACGTCCTTTTGGAGGATCATGACCCAATCTGGCTAGAGCTTCGCCATTCACATATAGCTGACGTATGTAGAATACACAAATTCTTTGTTATTCCCTTTTAGTTCTTCAAGAGTTATGAAGTTTCTCTGGTCAATGGTTGTTTTGTCAGGCTAGTGAACGCTTGCATGAGAAGATGACTAACTTCGTATCAAAAAATAAAGCTGCACAAATCCACAGTTCAAGGTTCGCCTGAGTTACGCATTGTGAATGACTTTCATTCATTATTTCAATTCAATAGCTTTGCATTTAATGACTTTTATTCATTGAATTTCCCGATATCATAGGTTTGCATGTAAATTGGTTTTTTTTAAAATTTTATTAAATCACCACACATTTTCATTTATTGAGTTACAGTTTCTTGTTGCTAGCTTTAGGATTTTATTTCGTATATTGGCTTGGTTTTGCTTCTTTTTTTTAGTAGTGCTTGTTGGCTACTGTCACTCTTTCTCACTCAGCATTAATTTTCATGCAGAGATGCTGGTGATTTGTCTACTCGGGACTTGCAAAAGATGGTTCAAGCTTTGCCTCAATATAGTGAACAAATTGAAAAACTCTCGCTTCATGTTGACGTGAGTCTCTTGTATTTCTAACTACAATTATGATTTAAAGCCGGGGAAAGAGAGAGAATATAGGCCACAATAGAGGATGGTAAATAAATCTTATTATTAACTCCATCTGAATATAATTGTTTATAGGACCAAGGTACACACTATGATCCTTTATTCTAGGGATATCTACCAAATTTAGATATATGCCAATCCTATAAACCGGGAAACAAATTATATGTTGACAATAATAAAACTGAGAAATATGGAAACAAATAACCACCAAATCTGCCTCTAATTCGTGGAATCTTCAACACTCCCCCTCAAGCTGGTCGATATAAGTTAAATAGTCCTAGCTTGTCCACCATTTTTCGAACAAGGGATTAAAACAAACCTTTTGTTAATAAGTTTGCCACCTGTTCGGATGAAGGCACGTATACCATGCATTTGTAACCTTTTTGAGTGGGAGAGTACCTTAAGAACACGCATTTTGGAGCCTTAGGGTCTAGCTTGGTACGTTCATGGTCATGGATATGAGTAAAGATAGTACATTCAAACACCTTTAGGGGTATAGATGAAATGGATCGAATTTGCGGGTACACGCTAGACAGAACAGTTAATGGAGTTTGAAAATTATGTATCCAAGAAGGCATTCTGATTACAAGGTAGCATGCAGTGAGGATGTATACCATGCATTAATAAGTTTGCCACCTGTTCGGATGAAGGCACGTATACCATGCATTTGTAACCTTTCTGAGTGAGAGAGTACCCTAAGAACATGCATTTTGGAGCCTTAGGGTCCAACTTGGTACGTTCATGGTCATGGATATGAGTAAAGACAATACATCCAAACACCTTTAGGGGTATAGATGAAATGGATCGAATTTGCGGGTACACGCTAGACAAAACAGTTAATGGCGTTGCAAAATTATGTATCCAAGAAGGCATTCTGATTACAAGGTAGCATGCAGTAAGGACCGCATCCCCTAAAAAATGCTTAGGGACCCTACTAGTAAACATAAGTGTTCTAGCAGTTTCGAGGAGGTGACGATTTTTCTTTTGGCTATTCCATTTTGTTATGGGGTAATGATACAAGAGCTATGGTGTAGGATGCCATTTTTAGCGAGAAAATCTCCGAAGACTTGATTGAAGTACTCTCATCCATTATCAGTTCGAAAGATTTTGATTTTTGCATCAAATTAAGATTCGATCATAGAGTAAATTTTTTTAAAAATTTGTGCCGTTTTGGACTTATCTTTTAATAGGTAAACTCAACACAATCCCGTATGATCATCTGTAAATATTATGAACCAACGTTTGCCGATAATATTTTTAATTCGAGAAGGCCCCCATACATCACTATGTATTAAAGTAAACGATGACGAAGATTTATAATCATGAGAAGAGGGTGAAGAGCGAGAATGTTTGGCGAGTTGACAAATATCACACTGAAAAATATCTTTATTGCGACACAAAGATGGAAATAAATACTTAAGATGCGAGAAACGAGGATGACCTAAACAATTGTGCCATAACATTATTTTTTGTTCTCTAAGGATAGATTCACAACTTGCATTGAGCTTGTTTATTCAAGTTGGCGTACTCCAGCAAGTAGTATAGTCCCCAAAGTTCTTTAGCATTGCCAATCATTTTCCTTGAAGTTAAGTCCTGAAAAATACACAACGATTCAGTAAAGTTGATACTGCAATGCAAATCTTTTGTTAATCTGCTAATAAAGAGAAGGTTGCAAGAAAGGTTTGGAACATGTAAAACTGATTTTAATTCAACGTATGTACTAAGTCTAATAGTTCCCATCCAGTGACGGGCAAGCGACCCATCTGCTATTTTTACTTTAAAGTGTCTAGGACATGATGAGTATGTGTGAAACAATTTCTTGCAGCCCGTCTTATGGTCAGTACCTCCATGGTCAATAACCCATTGTTTAATATTACTCTTATCAATGCTAAAATAAAATTACCTCTTTCAGCCAATAAACTGGAGATTGGTACTGCACTTGATGTAGGAGTAACAAGTTTATATTGTTGCTCGAGTTGGGCTTTGGTGAGTGACAGGGAGACATTTTCGGACATCTTTGGACTAGCTCCGGTAGCGCTCTGGAAACCAGAGGGATTACGTGCCCGAATCTCTTCACTAGCCTGATTTTGTCTTCCATCAATACGGGTCTACTGCTTTATGTTTGGTGGTTGGCCATGTAGAATCTAACACCGATCAATGGAGTGATTTGTCCTTTTGCAGTGGTCGCACCATGAATTGTTTTTCTTGTTTGCCCGAGATTGTTCCTGATCACGAATGGCAAGCACTGAGTTTTCCAAAGAAGGTTGCTTGGAGTTTCCAAGCATGATGTGTTTCTGGCTGGCCTCACATCGCATCTCAACAAAAGTTCATCAATCATTAGAGGTGGTTTGATGTCCCGTAATCTGCCTTTACATCTAATTCGGGTACTAACCCAGCCAAAAAAATCATAAATTCTCTCTTCTCCACTTGTTTCATATATTTTTCAGCATCTCTTGGTGTGTCCCAATCGATTTGGACGAACATCTCAATTTCCCGCCATAGTCGCTCATAGCATTGTAATATTGCGTGACATCAAGGTCTCCTTGATGTAAATTTCGTGCCTTATTTCCGAGTTCAAACAGTTGGGCAAAGTTTTCTAGGTTAGAGAAGGCAACTATAAGGGTGTCCCAAAGTTCCTTTGTTGTATAATAATATAGGTAGGATTCTTTGATATCCTCTTCCTTTGAATTAACAATCCAAGCCATCACCATGGAATTTTGTGCGTCCATTGCGTAGGCTGGATCACTTTTAGTCGGCTTTATTGTGGTTCCAATTACATATCCCAAACGTCATCGACCGCGGATAACCATAAGAGTACATCGTGACCATTGGAGAAAGTTTTTGCCATTCAACCGTGTTGTGGTAATTTGGAGGGAGGAGTTTTAAGAGAGAGTGGCCATAGGAAGATGTTTAGGAGTGGTGGGTACCCTTGAAGAGATAGGTTCAGGAGTCCCTGTGGAGAACATCGAATCCTCATCTCTGCGTGAACTAGTCATGGCCGTTTTGACCATTTCACCTACTCAGATGACCCTTGGCTTTGATACCATAAAGTCGGGGAGAGGGAGAGGGAGAGAAGATAGGCCACAATAGAGAACGATAAATGAATCTTATAATTAACTCCGTCTGAATACAATTATTTATAGGACCAAGGTACACACTATGATCCTTTATTCTAGGGATATCTACCAAATTTAGATATATGCCAATTCTATATACCAGGAAACAAATTATATGTTGACAATAATAAAACCAAGAAATATGGAAAAAAATAACCACCAAATTTGCTTCTAATTTGTGGAATCTGCAACATGGTTAGTTATTTGTGATGGCAGTAACTAGATCATCTTATGTTCAAGCCTTGGTTGTCCCATGTTTGAAAAACATACCTGCCGGTAGACTTAAAAAGTATCTCTGGAGCTTAACAGGCAAGGTTTCCTTTGGTTGTTCCTATGATATTCAATTTAATGCTAAAAAAATATTTAAAAAAAAATCTTCTTGTAGTTTTTTATTTGAGAAGGGATCTGAATTTGTATCCTACTATCTTCGTACCGTTTACAATCCTTACTTGATAAGCAAAACTGATTACTGAAAAATGTTTTTTAATAGTTTAAGTTCAATTCAGATCATAATATGCATGGAAATGTCATCTTTAGTCATTTTGAGGATACATTTTTAATAGCAGCTGCAAAAGAAATATGAATTAACTGTGCAGTTTGTACAATGTATGCCCCTGTTTAGCCTTCATTTTAATTTTAATGCATTTTTCACTTTCTTCTTTTCAACCGCATATCCTTCAATAAATATTATAACACATAAACCCAAAACCTTATTTTTTTTTTTTTGTAACTAGTTATCTTGAAAAAAATCACTATTCCAAAATACATTTTTCCCTAAAACGTCATTAAAATGGAGCCCAAACAGGGGCTATGTTTAAGGATCCGGTTGATGACTTGTAAAACTGGCTCAAGTTTTTTTTTTTTTACTAAAAATAGGACTTAGTTTCATTAAGCAACAAATGGTTTGGGAACAAACAGTATATTTTCATAGATAGAATTGTTAAGGAAATTCGTCTTTTGCTAATCATACTTCACTAGCTCAGATTGCTGGAAAAGTTAACAAAATTATCCGTGAAATGGGGCTTAAAGAACTCGGACAAATAGAGCAGGACCTTGTTTTTGGAGATGCAGGAACCAAAGATCTTATCAATTTTCTGAGAACGAAAGAGGTGAGAATGGTTTTATTTGTGTAATAATATCCTCAGCATATTGATTGCTGCATGTAAGAAGTAATGCAATTGCTTTCTCCCCAGGATGTAACACGGGAACATAAATTACGGCTATTGATGATCTACGCAGCTGTTTATCCTGAGAAGTTTGAAGATGGAAAAATTGCAAAACTCATGGAGGTTAGCGCTATTATTGACCTGCCTAAGGCCATTACTGCTACCAGTAATTTACTTACCTGAATTGGCATTTGATATCATTTATTTTGAATCCCTTGAGAGGTAGATTTTGTTAAGGGATAAAATCCCATATCGAAGATTTTTCATCTTTATTCAATGTAGGATTTTATCCCTTAACATGCCTCCACAAGATGGTGGCTCGTTTGAGCAGACCAATTTTGAAATCCGTACGCTCATTTATTGAGTTTTAATTGGATTAAATTGCTCGTTAGAATTTAATAGGCTCTGATACTATATTAAGTTTTTGGGTTCTATCTTAAACGGTCGACCTTGTTAAGAGAAGTAGTCCAAAACTTTATAAATTGGTTTATTATTCGATGTGGAATTTTATCCCTTAATAGATTTTCGAATTTTTAAGCCTCTGTTTGATTAGAACTGCTCTTTTATAGAGTCAAGAAATTCAAGTCTTTTACAGCGAGGTCAAACCATTTAAATTTTGGCATGCCTATGTAAATTTTAGTATACCTCTCACACTTCTATCATGTTTCACAATCATTTGCATGACTTGTGAATGCAAACTTCTTTAAGTCTATTTATCTAAGCGGTCATTCTCTTAATTTATCTTCAATTTTGAGATAACATAATTAACATCTTGATACGCATCTTGCATTTCTTGAAGTTGGCAAGATTATCAGAAGAGGATACAAATGCTGTGTATAATATGAGATTGCTGGAGGCATCATCCGAGACCAAAAAAAGCTCAATTATACCATTTTCTCTTAAATTTGACGTTCACAAGGTATTGATTGATTGTTTAAACTGATTTTGATGTTTGATTAACCCTGCCAACAGATATGAAGTTTTTGCCTTTGAAATTGCAGAAGAAGCAAGCTGCTAGAAAAGACCGCCCTGGTGAAGAAGTGGCTTGGCAACTGTCTCGCTTTTACCCTGTTATAGAGGTACCCATCATATTAAACTATAAAGTGGACGTGTCATTTCTGCATCATGAAACATAGGGTGGTGTTGATTTGATTTCATCCTCAATTACGGAACTTTCATGACTTAATTTTAGATCCGAATACTATCAAATGTTCATACTGATGTTTAGCAAGTCCATCGGTAGTAGAAACTGGGAACTCACTACTAATTTGAAGGAATTGAAATCTGACATATGGATGTCCCATTCAGTTCCCCCTTGCCCCTCCAACTCAAATGCAAGAACGTCCACACCCACAAAGGGATTGAGAAATCAACTCGTGCATGAAGGGGTTATCATCTATCTGTGCCCTAACTGACCTACCCACCTGTTATATGCATACATTTAACATCTGTAAATGGCTTCCTTCTCAAGTATTGGCATCCTAATTAATTCTACCTTTACCATGTTGGGGTCTGTATCTTCCTTTTTTCTTATCCTTGCCCATGCTCTAGACCTTGTTGAAGTTGTGATTTTCTGGCACGTGCTTTGTTCATTTTGTACTGAGTGCCTTTGTTCATTATATATGGAGCAAATGCAGCCTCATGTGAGTACCATGTGTTATCCTTTTCCCTTCTACTTGAGGCTCCGCCTGGCCTAAATTATTTGAATATTCAACTGATGCTCTTGTTGCTGCACAGGAACTCATTGAAAAACTTAGTAAAGCAGAACTATCAAAGGATGACTACCCATGTATGAATGACCCTAGTCCAACTTTCCATGCAACATCTCAGTCAGCATCGTTGAGGACGGGTCAAATTCCAGCTCCTCATTCAATGAGATCAAGGCGGACAGCAACATGGGCCCGTCCTCGAAACTCTGATGATGGGTATTCCAGGTATGTTGTTTGAAATTGGTTTTTAGAATTTGAAAGCTAGAAGTTGTTAGTCACATAGGGAAAAATGATTTTCTTTTTGGGAGTATAGTTGTTAAAAAGTGGGGAAAATTTATGGGTCCCATAGAATGTGTGGTTGAAAATGTTTTTGGGGAAAATTTATTTTAAAATAATCTTTGAAAAGCAAGCCTTAGGTTGTTGGTAGTTTTTGAAAGACTATGCAATAAGACACTACTGCTTTCTTCTGCCAATTGAGCGCCCACTGTTGCTGGTGCTACCACCATCAATAATCTTTAGAACATCTATACCACCACCACTGCACACTGTATACATTCAAAATAGAACACTTCAATCTTGTTCTCTCTCGCATTCCTAAAAGATAATGGATTAGATGAAAATTTTGTTTTAGGGACTTCAATTCTGTGAAGAAGTGATGTTCGTGAACCCTACTTTGTCTTAGTTGTATATTGTTCAGGATTGGCCTGAAATGCAAAACCAAATCAACTTGCACTGAACAAGGTCTTTTTTTGGGGTTTAGTTCCAGTTCAATTAAGTATAATTGATCACTTTTCCTAAATATATTTTCTCGTGTATTGCCTTTTAATTTATAGAACGGTACAAAGCTATGTAAGGAAAATATAACTAATCCTGATTTTGTATGATAATTAGCTAGCCTATACAAGGTAATAAACTAACTAACCTAAATTAGCCGGAAATAAACTATAATACCCTCCCTCAAATTGATGATGGTGAGTCTATAAGCATCAATTTGCTCACGAGAAAATTATGACTAGGTCAAATAAGAGATTTAGTGAATATATCTGCAATCTGATGGGTGGTGGAAACGTAGGGACGTAGGGAAGACTGCTGACCTTAGAATCATAGGCTTCTAGAATGTAATGACAGTCCACTTTAATATATTTGGTGCGTTCATGGTACATAGGGTTAGCTACAATCTGAATAGCAATAAAGTTGTCAACATGGAGAGGCGTAGGATGTGATTGGGAAACCTCAAGTTCTGCCAAGAATAACGTGCAACCCCACAACCTCAGAACATGCAGCGGACGTAGAGTGATACTTGGCCTCAGTAGAGGACTTAGAAATACAATCTCGCTTCTTACATTTCAGGAAATGGAGCATCACCTAGAAAGATACACCATCCAGTAGTAGATTGACGAGAACCAGGTCAACCAGCTCAATCAACATTATTATAATATCATCCACATATACTAATAGACAAATGATCCTAACAGTACTCGTGTAAAAACAGAAATACATTATATTGACTTTGAATGAAGGAAAATCCAAAAGAGTGTGGCAGAACTTGTCGAACCACGCTTAAAGGTTTGTTTAAGACCATACAAAAAGCGCTTGAGCTTACATACAGAGTCAGCTGAGGGAAGCAGCATACCAGATGGAAGTTTCATAAACATGTCTTCTTTAAGATCACCATGTAAGAACGTATTCTTTACATTTATCTGATATAAAGACCAAGACCGAGAAGTTGCAAGTGATAACAAGAGGTGAACTATGGTCATTTTAGCCTCGGGAGGAAAAGTCTTAAACATAGTCGATTTGATACTCTTGACGGTTACTCAAGGCGATCAACTGAGCTTTATAGCGCTCAAGAAAACCATCAGAACGAAGTTTGACACAATATACCCATTTACTCCTAACGGGTTTAACATTCGCCGGACATGGTACAACATCCCAAGTTTGGTTGGCCTCAAGGATCTCAAGTTTTGCATTCATCACATGTTGTCAACACTCTTGTTCCATAGTCTGTCTATATGAGAGAGGGATGGAAATCGAGTTAAGTGTAGTAGACATAGAGCTATGGGAGGGAAAAGAAAACCATTCCTATTCGGTGGTTTTGGAACACGTTCTGTATGACAAAGAGTGACAAGAGGCGGAAGATCATCTGGTGAAGGATCAATGTCGTAGTTAAAGGATCGGGAAGGCTTGGGAAGACAATCGTCTGAGAAGGAGGCTTCGAAACAGTGACTCGAGCGGCATCCCTGCTAATAAAAACAAGACCCGACTTGTACCGAGAGGATTCTGTATGAAAATCAAGCAAGACAGAGAACACAGAGGTAGGAACAACATTTTCTAAGATGAAGACTGTTTTTCAAAGAAAACAATATTACCAAAAATCGTAACTTCTTGTGTCTTAGGATTATAACAAACATCCTTTTTGAGTCCCACCATATCCCAGAAAGGCACACTTGACAAATTGCGGTGTGAGTTTTGTCCTTTCATGTGGTTATAAATGAACTAAGCATATAAACCTAAAAGGACGGAGATGAGAATATGTGGGATGTTGACCGAGGAACTCATAAAACGGAGAGACATTATTAAGGGTAGGTGAAAGCATCCGATTTATGAGATACACAGTAGTAGACAAAGCTTTACACTAAAATCGAGAAGGAATAGAAGACTTAATCAAAAGAGTTCTAACCATGTTAAGAAGGTGACGAATTTTGCGATCTGCCACCCAGTTTTGTCGAGGAGTATAGGGGCAGGATTGCTGAGAAATAATACCTTTACCTCCTAAATTAGATCGTATGATTTTGATTGAGGAGGAAAATCGGTTCTTAATAAAAGCAGGGAAGGCCTAAAAATAGAAAAAACTTCACTTTTTGTATGAAAAAAATAAACCATGTGAATCAACTAAAATATCTCATCTATAAAAGTAACAAAGTATTTATGAGCATGAGATACCACAAGTGTAAGACCCCAAATATCACTATGAATAATATTGAAAATATGTGAAGCATGAGAACCATGAGGCGGGAACGGTAATATCTTACTTTTAGCAAGTTTACATGAAACACAATCAAGAAAGAGACACGAAACCGAAGCAACGTTCTTATTACCAAGCAAACCGAAATTTAAGAAATGTTGTAACTCATTAGAATTGGGATGAACCAATTTCTTGTGCCAGTAAAAAAATATGAGTAGTAGAATTACAAATAAAAGAGAAAGATGAAACAGGTTTTGGTGAAATAGGCAAGAGAAGTCACCCATTAGGTCTCCTCAGGATTGTCCTCCCGGACTCCCGATCTTGCACATGACAACTAGAAGAAGAGGTCACAGTTCAATTGTTATTAACAAGTTGATCAACAGATACAATATTAGTTGATAAATTAGGAGAGACCAAAACATTAGACAAATTAGGTGATATATCCCCATATAGCTGAAATAGGAAGAATGTTACCATCGGTAATGTGTATATTGAGATGTCTAGTATATAGTCTAAGGTTACTAAGCAATAGTGTATTACCTTTTAATTTATAGAATGGTACAAAGCTATAAAAGGAAAATATACAATGGGAATTAGTTCTGATTTTGTGTGATAATTAGCTAGCCTATACAAGGTAATAAACTAATTAACATAAATTAGTCAGAAATAGACTCTAATATAATTTGACTCAGTTTTGTTTCTGCAAACATTTAACCAATAAACAGTGGAGAATTAGATCAAAGTAATCCAAGGGAAACCAAATAAACTGTATATGCATCCCATGGCTGTGGAGAATTTCTTACTTTATTCTATACGTTAATGTAGTCATATAAATTTGACTATTGTGATAGTTTGGTATCTATTAGAACCACATATAAAGATTTTATTACTACTACAATCTTCAAAGCCATCAATCCTTTTGTCTATTTTAATTTTGTACTCCAGTATTTCAATTAGTTATGCTTTTCTGCAGTGATTCAATTTTGAGGCACGCGTCTAGTGATTTCAAGCAGATGGGTCAACGTATTTTTGTATTCATTGTTGGTGGGGCAACACGATCTGAGGTATTACGTCTTGATGCGCTCTCTCTCTCTCTCTCTCTACTGAAACTATTTTTTATCCTCAGTTGCGGGTTTGTCATAAGTTAACAACAAAGTTGAAGCGGGAAGTTATCTTAGGCTCATCCAGTCTTGATGATCCTCCAAGATTTATTACGGTAAGGCTGGCTTCATTCCTTTCTCCAGTTGACCTCGTCCACAACTCTATGAACTCCCAAATTTTTGACAGCTTGAAATTATATATTTTATGATAATGGGTCCATATTCTATCAACGCATTAGTGAGGATACAAGCCGAATACAAGAAGTACATAGAACTCAACTCTTAACAAATGTTGATTTTTCTTGTTTATGACTATAACGTTAAATTATATCTTTTATAACTGTCCTTTACGATATATGGAAGTTTTATGTATGCTTAAATATACAGACATATCATATTGCATGCAAATATTTGTACAAAATATGTAGATAAAAGAAGGGAGGAAGGAAGAAATATTGACAAACATAAGAAATTGTATAAGAATCATGTTCTAATTTGTTCTGTAATCAAATTCGTCCCAATCCATGCAGAAAAAAAAGAAAATGAATGTTTTTATGTATCTGATTTTGCAACATCTGTTCGGCTGCAGAAAATGAAGCTGTTGACTGCAAATGAACTCTCGTTGGACGATCTTCAGATTTAGATATCTATGAGTGGTGAAGCTGCACATTCAAATTTTCTCGGGCCCGTTTTCCATCTGTAAATCATATATCCATGAACACTTCAATATCTTAGCTTCTTGGATTTCACTTTTCCTTTCTTTTTTTATTTATTTATTATTCATTGTGACATTGTTTTCTACTTGCCTGGACAACTGGTTGATGGCTGTGTTGTAATTGATTTGTCGAGGTTCTAGCCATCCGGGGCATGTATAAATGTATTAGTTGTCACTCGGAATTTTGTTGATTGTAAAATCCAAGAGTTCAGATACCTGTTCAATGGTCTATATTTTATTGCTTACAATTCTCTTTCAATCCTGAATTTTTGATGTGCTCTAAATATTGTATTACATGTGCATAATGATTTACATACACACGAGATAGTGATATATGATTGAGTGAGAATTTCTTCAATCAAATAAAAAGAAACTATTCCACTCTATTTTTTATACCTTATTTGTATGTAAATTATTATGTAATTTCATTACGTACAAGTAGCATTATTCTATACTCTAGAATCTTCTAATTCCTCGCTCATTTTTCCATGAAATTGTGGGGAGTATATTTTTCTACCTCTTCTCTCCCATAGTATACTTGCTTTTTTGGGGACATGTTAGCATGCAGTTTTGGATTAATAATAATCGTGATTTTTTTCCCCCTATTTTAGTATAAATATTCTGTTGCAGCCAGCATAGTTTTTATATATGTATTTTTCCAAATATGGGCAACCGTGAATGTTTGTTATTATACAGTTGCAGGAACTACTTCAATGGTGCACTTTAAAATTCTAAAATATTTCTTTTATATTTTAATTATACTTTTTTGTATGAAATTTATCATTGATGATGTCATTATCCAGTAATATGTAAGTGGTCCAAAAAGTGACATTTCTTTTTTCTAATTAATTTTCTAAACATGCTTTATACATCATTGTGTTCTTACCTTTATGTCTATGGTGGTGGTGTTTATATAATTTTTTTTTTCTTTTTTAATATATATTTCTATGTTGTCACATGTAAAACAGTAGGGAGTGAACCAGATTATTAAGAAAATGGGGGGACAAAATCCATAATCTTCGCAAATGTCTTTTGTGGTAAGCAACCTTATGAACTTGGAATTATATACCCACCAACTCCAATTTCTAAATTCGCTTTTCAAGAATGACAACTTTTGCTCCTCCCACGATGATTGTGCTAAAGATTTGAAGGTATTAGATTTGAGTTTCATCTTCGATGTCAACATTCTTAAGAGGAGTATTCTAAATTTTTATATATTGGTCTATAATTTGTTAATTATTCAATGTGAAATTTATTACTTTAACGGAATGTATGAGTACGATCATGTTTAGTATGTTGCAACAGATAAAACAGAATAAAAATGCATCATATCTACAATTGATATTTTATATTGGACAAGATTTAAGAATCATGTGATTGAATTTATGAATATCTTGCATATAGTGTTAATGCATTCAATTTCATTGTATTTTAAATGTAACTCACTCCCCTTTCCTCCCATTGCTAGGGGCCTCGCCCTCTTAACTTGATATGTTAAGAATACTACAACATATCACTAAAATCTCCCTAGAGGGGGATAAGGCTAAGCTGAGCGAAAAGGGTTTTTCGAGTACGGGTTTTTCTGGCCCAAGTGTAGTTAGTCTTTACCACGAATTATTTTCTATACATGTATATTTTATAGAATAGGCACAAGAATTTGATTGACAAGGTGAAGAAGAAAAAGAAAAGATTATATGACGGTGCCCTATTTAAAATATTAACTAAAAAGATATGCTAATAAAATAAGCAAAAGCAAATCTCAATTTGTTGACCTGCCTCATAAATAAACCATATACCTCTAGACATGTAAAATAATATTATATTTTAGGAATACTTTTTTAAAATTTATATTTTAAATATCATATTTTTGTATAATTGTCATAAAAACACCTTTTCGTGAATAATTAATAGATATATCATTATAAATAGCTAAACAGACAAATATTCCCCTAACTGAAATAGTGATGGTAACGAGGCGCGTTCGAGTCAAAATCCCACCTCGCCCTGCACCCCACCCCCCTTAGACGAGGCGAGTTCGGGGCAACTTTTTTCCCTGTTTAATTTTTTTTAAATTTTTCTTTAAATTTTTTTTTATTATACATTTTCAAAATTTCAAGTTATGTTATAATTAGAGAATAAAATATAAATTTAAAATGGGTTTTTAGCGAGTAAATTATCTAGAAATAAATTTATTTTTATTCCTTTTTTGTTTTTTTATCACGAGGTGGGTTCAGGACTGTTTTTTTGCCCCATTCCGGATGCAGCCCACTCGGGGCTGGACGGGACGATTTTTTTGTCATCCCTAAACTGAAATAACAAATTATATGGTGAATTTCATGAATTGTCATTCAATAATATACTTAATGTTACTGTGACAATCCAATTTGATTTTGTTGCACCATGATCATCCAATTTGATTTTGTGTCACCATGATCACCCAATCTTATGTTTAGTGTCACTATAACCACTCAATTTGATTTTATTTTATTATGGCCACCAAATTTCATTAAAAACTTCACTATGACCATTCAATTTTATTTAACATTTCACCATGACCAAACAACTTCTTTTCACCCCTTTCACTAATTCTAAAAGGGGTGAAAAGTAACTATGCTTATATAACAAATAAATTTTAAAAAAAATAAAAACTTATTTTTTTAAAAAATAATATAAAAACTTATTTTAAAAAAATGTAACTTAAAAAAATAAAATAAAATATAAACTTATTTTAAAAAAATATTTATAAAGTAAAATAAAAACATATTTTAAAAAAGTTACCTAGAAAATAAAATAAAAATTCATTTAAAAAAAACATTCCTTAAAAAATAAAATAAAAATAACAACTTACTTTTAAAAAAAGGTTTTTAAAATAAAAAAATTTTATTTTATTTTTTATATATAATACAAAATTACATTTCACCCCTTTTAAAATTAGTAAAAATGGTGAAAAGAAGTTGGATGAACATGTTGAAACGGTATATGAAATTGGGTGGTCATGGTGATTACTAAGTATAAAATTGGATGACCATTGGTGGATTTAACCCAAGTCATACAGTATATTTTATATTATATAATTTTACATAATAAATTTTTGGTTTTCGATTTTTTCATTCAATATTTTTTATTTGAAGGATATATTTTTTTAAAATAAAAATTACATCAGTCAATTGGTAACAAGTCCACAACTAAAACTGTGTATGAGGCATGAAAAACTCTCCAATAAAACTTTATGCAATCTTTCAAAAACTAGCTCATAAGTGTTTAAAACAAAGGATTTCCAAAGTGCTTAAGAATATTGCTAAACCAAGATTGAGGGAATTACATCTTTTCTTACTTATATGACAGCAACTATTCTCTCATCTCTTGCATTGTCTTCATAAACTAAAAGTCATCAATATGAATACCTAATTAATTATCGTTTTCTCCTAAACACGTATTTCTTACAATGCAGATAATGCCCCCGTTTGAGTCTCATTATTTCTCATTACATTAAATTAAAATTTTCTCTCTCCTACTTTTAACCACACAATTTTCAATAAAATAATATTACAAGTAAATAAAAAACTTTTCAACAACTCATTTTTCAAAAAAATACAATTCATCTCATTATAATCTACAAATAATGGGGCTCAAACGGCCCCAATATAGATTCAGTAACTTTCACAGCTGTCAAATCTTCAGCCAAGTCAACTGCTCCCATAACAGGCAAGTAACTGTTATATTTGTTAAGCTGACAAGAAAATTAGTTAGATGCAGTTAGTTAGTTAGCTAGAATAAACACAGTGAGTTAGAACTGTTGTAAAATCTAGCTGCAATGCTATTGCTTTGCCTATAATGTAAACACATTTCATATGATCTAAATGAATAATAATGAGAGCTCATCTTCTTCCCAATTTTCTTTTCAAGCTGCGATTCTTAATTCAGAACTTTTGCATGGTATTAGAGCAATTTTTCTTCAATACCTACAACCGAGGCTCAGATAGTAATTTTTTTTTGGCATCCAAGTGATAACCCCGGTGCTTTGATTGTCTCTGGGGTTTGCAATGGAGGCAATTATACTTCTTGGATCCGCTCAATCTCTGTGGCACTAAGTGTAAAGAATAAGTCAGCCTTCATTGATGGTTCTTTACCAGCTCCAAGTCTACTGAGCGGTGTTGTATACAATTGTTGGGTGTGTGTTAACAATCTGGTACTATCTTGGTTGTTAAATTCAATCAACAAAGAAATTGGTCAAAGTTTGTTGTGTATTTCATCTGCTTATAAAATATGGAATGAACTCAAAAACTAGATACATTAGTAGTGATGGTCTTAGAGTGTATCACTTGAAGAAATCTCTCGGCTCCATTTCTCAAGGCTCACAGATATTAACCACATATTACAATTCATTCAAGGCTACTTGGGATGAGTACATCAGCTATAGACCACTCCGAAAATGTAGTCGTGGAATGCTTTGCAGTTGTACCTATGATATACTACGCAGCGTATCTAATACACAGCAATCAGATACTGTTTTGAAGTTTTTTCATTGGCCTAAATAAATCCTATTATGTGTTAAGACAGGTGCTATTAACTTCTCCACTTACATCATTAGCTCGAGTATATGCTCTTCTTCGTCAAGAAGAAAACCAGGCGAGACTTTCATACTCGCTCATTACCAGAATCAGCTGCAATGGTACCCAGACAACCTCCCAGAGCATTTAACAAACCTACACTTTGGAAGGACAAAAAGAAGTCTAAATGTACTCATTGTGGTTATCCAAATCACAATGCAGAAAAGTGTTATCAGCTCATAGGCTATTCCCCGTGCTCGAAAGATCCCAGAAGCTCACGAATGCTAGTTGATATTCCTACTATTCATGCTGTAACAATAGGCCAACCTGCATATGATGGGGGATCAAGTCATCAATTCAATCAAAGTCTTTACCAGTAATTCCTAGCATTTACCAAAACTCAGCAAACACCATTCCCAAGAACATATAACCCTATAGCAGCTAGAGCACAGCGTAAATTTCCTTCTATAAAACTCTTTCAAAACAAGGACAACTTCCTGGATAATTGATACAAATGCAGTAGATCACATGATCTATTTACCAAACCTTTTTATTTCCATTGATTCAACAATAGTTAGCCATGTTCACTTACCAAATTGCTCCTTTGTATGAGTCGATTACATTAGCAAAGTCCAAATTTTTGACAACCTAACTCTTAACAACGTTCTCTATGTACCTTCTTTTACATTCAACCTTATCTTAGTTTCCA